TTGTGCACAAAAAAAAATCTATAAATAGTAACAAATTTTATTGGTTGAATTTTGATCAATAATTACTAAAAAAAAAATTTAGCTGAGGGGTTGATTTTCCTAGTCCAACTCCCATATATGAAATCCTCTAAGAAAAATTTATTTTCTTTCCATTTTTTTATTAAAAAAAGGACTTTGCTACTCGCCAACTCATAAAAATGATAAGCGATTCAAAAGAAAACATTACATTACTAGGACTTATGGATAATGATCCATATGGTAAATATATGTGCATCTGATGTTTTTATGATTATCAGTTATTTATTTGAATTATTTATCTTTTAGGGATACATATAATCAAAGTGTATAAACATGGCTCTTTGGTAAAGTAACAAATATATGTATATACCTTAATAATAATAGTTATTAATAATAAAATTTCCTTTTTCCTCTTTTCTTTCTAGTCAAAATCCTTTGATAATGAAAATCTAAAAATTCTGAATATAAAATGGATCAGGATTGTAATGACAGAGAAAGGTAAAATCATTTTATAAAAAATTCCATGTTGTATTAATATTTATTATTGCACAATTTTTTTTGCTTAGATTTAACATTCCCAACAATATATACATTAAACTAAAGACTAGTGCCATAATCAAAAAAAGGAAAAAGTATGGTTGCAAAAGTGGTCGCAAAGGTAATTGCAACCAATTTTTATATGCCATAAATACAATTACTACCATCATCATAATTTACGGCACCAGTCTTTAATTAATTAATTTAATATATAGTCTGTCTTCAGAAACTTATTATCAAATAAGATTTTTGAAAGATTGGGGCCAATTATTATGATCACAGTAAGTACTGATAACCTATAAGCATGCATCAACTCTTAATTAAAAAATTGTACTGTTAACATTTATTTCCAATTACAAATTAATCAAAAAAAATTTATTTAAATATTTCATAGGGAAAAGGCTATCCAGTAAGCTATATATATATATATATATACACATATATATGAAATCCAGGGAATAAAGTTTTTTTTCCTCTAAGAAAAATTTATTTTCTTTCCATTTTTTTATTAAAAAAAGGACTTTGCTACTCACCAACCCATAAAAATGATAAGTGATTCAAAAGAAAACATTACATTACTAGGACTTATGGATAATGATCCATATGGTAAATATATGTGCATCTGATGTTTTTATGATTATCAGTTATTTATTTGAATTATTTATCTTTTAGGGATACATATAATCAGTGTTGTGCAAATGGAACATTGTAACGCTATTGAAATGTTCCAATGTAGATCTTCAATTGATATTAACCAATAAAATTCGTGTGTATGACATTATAATTGAATTTCATTGGTTAACTTCATTGGAACCACATTTGGAATGTTCTAATTCCAATTGGAATTTATTAGAATGCACCAATGAAATTTTATTGGAACCATAAATGGCACAACACTGCATATAATCAAAGTGTATAAACATGGCTCTTTGGTAAAGTAACAAATATATGTATATACCTTAATAATAATAGTTATTAATAATAAAATTTCCTTTTTCCTCTTTTCTTTCTAGTCAAAATCCTTTGATAATGAAAATCTAAAAATTCTGAATATAAAATGGATCAGGATTGTAATGACAGAGAAAGGTAAAATCATTTTATAAAAAATTCCATGTTGTATTAATATTTATTATTGCACAATTTTTTTTGCTTAGATTTAACATTCCCAACAATATATACATTAAACTAAAGACTAGTGCCATAATTGAAAAAAGGAAAAAGTATGGTTGCAAAGTGGTCGCAAAGGTAATTGCAACCACTTTTTATATGCCATAAATTACTACCATCATCATAATTTATGGTACCAGTCTTTACATTAAACTAAAACAAAACAACAGGAAGAAAGCAATTAGCTTGTTAAAAGAAAATATACAAGACAATTGGAAGTAAATATTGATAAATTGTTGTTGTTTATTTAAATATTGACTGATTTTATTAATTGAAAATTTTACAATAATAGAATTGAGATTCAAAAAATTTTACAATCTGGAGAAAAAACTGAAATACAATCCTTATATAATGCAAATGATAATGGTCTATTAGAATATTTAGTATTGTTGTATGTGAAATTGAAATTATGTGAAATTGAAATATTATGGAGTGGGGTGAAATTCTGATTGACTAATTTGAATTTCACACATGTAAATTTGAATTTCACATATGTGAATTGCGAATTCACATAATTTCATTTTCATGTACAACAGTATCAAAATTAAATAACCCTGAATCTTGGTTGTAATTATTTGCTTAATTATTATTAATTGTATTATATTGTTACTTATTTGTGTAAAAATTCAAGGTGATCTTCTCCAAATATATGAAATTTTTAAGTTAAAATAAAAACCCATCTTCATTTATTGTTTATTATTATTAGAACAAGTATTATCATATCATACAGTTTTGGATCAGATAAAAACTTTTTCTAATTGCAACTTTAAAAAAAAAATTTTTAATTTAGGTTTTAAAAATTACACTTAATCAGACTTTTCTCCTGAAACAAATGAATAGTTATATGTATAAACAAGTTCACAAGACAACGTCAAGTTGCCCCAAATGGATACTTTAAATAAGTATTATGGGGGAGTTTTGCATTGTATAAAGTTTAATTCGTGATCTGTGAAACAAGTGGTGAAATTTGCCGATCATTAATATGTTTTTGTGGTGATAATAAATAATATT